GGAGGTTTGGGGATGGGTTGTTTTGTTTTTGTAAAATTTTAAAAACTTAATAAATATTTATAATAAAAAAAAAGAGAGACCTATATCTACCCTGACTTATTCACAGCAAACATGTTAGAAATGGGCTGTCTTGGGAGGATCATTTTCTTTTCTGGACATTTTGCTCTCTCTCTCTCTCTCTCTCTCTCTCTCTCTCCCTCCCTCCCTCCCTCCCTCCCTCCCTCCCTCTCTCTCTCTCTCTCTCTCTCTCTCTCTCAGATCTGCTCTTTCTACTGCCTTTGTTAAAAATATAATTTAAACTTCCATTTTCATTCGTCTCAGGATGTTATAGCAGTGTTTCTGAATCTTGGCAGCCAGCTTGAGAAACATTGGGCTATAGCAATGATTTATTTTCTGTCCCATCATGATGTTTGCGCTTCCAGGGTGTTCATATCTTCAGATGGATTCCTGTTTTGCTCCTGCAACAACTTTAAGTTCCAAGCATCTACAATTTAAGGTTTCTTCTTCATTGATCTGTATAGTCTTTTCTTACTATCTTTTTCCCATCATTCCTATATATCTGAAAGCTTTATCTACGTTTCTGATTTGCTCTGTGTTACATAATTCTGTGTCCTTTCTTTTCTATACGTTAAGCTGACTTCTCCATCTCAAATATCTCCTGGGGTGTTTATTTGAGAAAGCTTGCATGAATCTCAATGTTACTGCATTTTATGTCACTGATTCAGTTTCAGTTCCAAATCAGCTACTCTGCATTCTCTCTGTATAGGCTTGTCAGGGATCACCTGTAATAATATCCCTGTGTTTCCTTAACTATAATTTGTTTAATAAGTTTAAGTGCCTGGATTGATGAAGCATGATGGCGCAGTGGTTACAATGCAGTATTGCAGGCTAACTCTGCTGACTGCCATCAGTTTGATCCTGACCTGCTCAAGGTTGACTCAGCCTTCCATCTTTCTGAGGTTGGTAAAATGAGGACCCAGGTTGTTGGGGGCAATATGCTGACACTTAGAGAGGGCTGTAAAGCACTATGAAGTGGCATATAAGTTTAAGTGCTATTGCTATTGATGCAAAACACTCTAAAGCAGGGGTGTCAAACTGCCAGCCCATGGGCCGGACATGTCACGCGGAAGCTGCACCCACCCCATTGCCAGCAATGGCAAAACTGTCCCGATACATTGCGTGATGTCACGTGACGTTGCGAGTTTGACATGTCTGCTCTAAAGTCATAAATATAATTACGAAACACAATGCCAATTTCACACAACATGCCAAACGAAATCATAGCATAGCTTAACACAGTGTATGAATCTAATCATTGTAGTTAAGAGCTGGTTCTCAAAAGATTAGAAGAAATCAACCTAAAGCTACATTTGTTAGTTATGAAAACAAAAGAAAGTAGAAACTTTTTAAAAATTATTTCCTGCTGTATAAACAAATGACAATAAAGCCTTATACTTTTAAAGTTATTTCTGTATATTAAATTTATCAGTGAAAAGTTTGGGTTATTTGGAATTTGACAGCCTTTGAAATTTTTTTGCTTTTTCTGTATTTTTGAAATCAGGGTTGCACTTTTTTCCTGGCAAGAAATACATGTGTGTGTGTGTACGTGTGAATGTGTGTGTGTGTGTAAAGAAAGATGCAAGACATGCAGGAAATGAATGAAGCTTATCCTTTCTGCTAGCTGAATTATTGCCTTCATGCAGTTTATAAATAATTTCAAACACCCTACCCATATAAAAGAGATGACAAATCAAAACACTAAACACTGTTTTTCAAGTGTATATTTCTATTTATTATATTCTATTTAAATATATTTATATATAAATATAAATATTATATATTTCTTTTCAGAAACTTGAATATCAGATTAATTAGTTCACTGCTGGATTTTATTGATTGCATAGTTGAAAGGTCTAGTTTATTTTGGAAAACTATTAACTGTTTATTTGTTATGTATTTATTTACATTTTTTTATTCTACCTTTACTACTTTATAAGTAACTCAAGGCAGTGAACATAATTAATACTCCTTCCTCCACCTATTTTCCTCACAACAACAATCATGTGAGGTAAGCTGAACTGAGAGAGAGCAAATGTCCTAAGCCAGTGGTGGCGAACCTGTGGCACGGGTGCCAGAGGTGGCATTCGGAGCCTTCTGTGTGGGCACACGTGTCGTTGCCCCAGCTTTGCCTACCCTCGCGACCCCCTCCTCACCAGCAGCCCCCCTGGAGGAGAGTCACCCCCGAGCGTGGCCCATGTGGAACAGCGCAGCCAAGGACATGGCAGCCAGGCAGCATAGACAATACTCTGCCCTCACGCCCCAACGCGCACAGTTGATGCTGCGGGGCATGGGCAGAGACCGTGGCCGCCATGGCATTGCTGGGCTGCCTGGGCGATCTGTGGTGGGCCCTGGAGGCGGTGAGTGGCCCTGCGCGCAGGCAGGGTGAGGTGGAATGGGGGTGGGGGAGCGGGTGCAGTGGGGGTGGGGCCAGTTTTTGGGCACTCGGTCTCTTAAAGGTTTGCCATCACTGTCCTAAGCTCTTCCTAGGTACAGCATCCAGTTATCTTGCCCTGTCTTGGTGTGGGTTGGGCCCAGACAGAATGAGCAGACAAGGACAGGCTGATAGATGACAACTGGCAACATGATGTTCAAGAGCCTCAGTGGTGGAATTCAGATATGTGAACAACCGGTTCTCTGTGTGGATGCCGCTTTCTGAAGTCCATTCTGGGCCTGTGCAACAAAATTAGCTATCAGTTCTACTGAATTGGTGCAAACTGGCTGAATCCCATCACTGAAGAGCCTCCTAAAACCTTGATGGAATCTGGTGTAATTTGACTTGAAAAAGTAACCTGTTCTTCAAATGCTAGCCTCTTTTAAAAAATAAACCCACATCCATTTTCTATTCTACAATTGCTGTTGTTCAGATTCCTCTTGTTTTCAGTTTTACAGTGACTCTCCCTCCCACTGCCCAGATCTCTATTTTGTTTTTGTTCTAATTTTGTCATAAATAAATTGACTCAGGTCCTTTAACATTAAAGGCATTCTAACGGCCTTGTTTTGCCCTGCATGTCATGCTCCACCCAATAAAGGAAGTTATCAGATTCTACAAATGACATGCACTCAACTCTCTTCTCTTTCAAAGAAGAGCCTGTCTGGTTTGGGGATTTAAAGAGGTTCTCAAAATACCTTCTAAGTAAAAAGAATTGGAAAAAAAATATTGTGTAAATCATGGCAGCAGCAATGGTAGGTAATACCGAATTTAATTATTTTTGCTGAGCTTTTTCTGTCTCCTTTTTTCTTGAGTTGCAAGCTGCAGAGATAGTATTCACAAAAATAAGGTGACCAACCGTCCTCCTTTAGGGAGGACAGTCCTCCTTTTGTAAGTTCTGTCCTCCTTCAAAAAGTGTCCTCCTACATCTCCTCCTTTTCAATATTTAAAGACTAATCTGCAGGGCTTATTTTTTTCTCATAGAATGCTCAGAACTGCACCTTTTTTTAATGTTTTTTTTTTCAACTTTTGCCTGAGTTGTGCTACTCTCACTATTGGCTTTCGAAAGCCAATAGGAATTGCTGCTGAGCGCGCCAAAACACTCGGCTGGCAAACTTTGCACATGCAAGTTGTCTGTATTATTGTTGCAATGAATAAAATGTTTCTTTTATTTATGATATTTTTTCTTCAATTTATTTGTGTCCTCCTTTTCATTGTAAAAAAGTTGGTCACCTTAACAAAAATGGAGTGTTAATTTTTCCATTCCATGTTTAACTTCTCAAGAACACATTTTGGTTGGGGAGCTAGGCTGATTCATACATTGGAAGTGAAGTTTTGGTTTGTATCATGCAGGACTTCAATTGAATGCAATGGGATACAGTATACTTCCAAGCAAGTACACATAGTAAACTCTTCTAACCTGGCTTATATTCCAAATTCTGATCTTACACAGCCTAGATAAATCGGAAGACCTACATTATATGGCCTAAACTGCATAGAAAGCTTTCCTGTACCTTTAAGTATAACAAAATACTCTGCAAGTTGGGAAATCTTATTTCTTGTTACTGTAATGGCGATAGTAGGCCTACTAAAGGTGCTGAATCTATGCTAGGAGAACAAATAAATTGTGTCTACCATGATTCTACAACACTAAATGGAGAAGACTGAAGGAACAGGAATATAAAGTTTCAGCTTATGAAAACAATTCTCAAGCTGTTGCTTGAAGAAAACAGAAGGAGGCCCAAGATAACTTGCCTAAACTAGCTAAGTTTAGCTAGTTTAGCTCATTGGGCAGTAAGTTTTCCTTCATAGCTCTATTTACTCTCCTTAGCTCTTTAAACAAAACCTGCAAAGTCTAACAACGTCAGCTTTCTTCTCTGCTTGCCTTGGGGATTGTTATGTAAAATGAACATGGCACTGTTTGTTTTCCTGTTACTTTGACTAAAGATTTGGAAAAAGTTGGACATTTGGCAGCTTGTAATGTTGCTAATAGAGTTTAGCCAAAAATTGCCTTGGTTTATTCACGCTGTTTCCTGTCCTTTGAGATGGTGGCTCAGTCTTTTCCAGGAGATGTTTCATGTTGCAGGAACTAGGTCTGTTTGGGATCATGAATACATGAAACTATAGAGCAGTTTTTCCTTGTGGCTGGAACAGGTCTTGGGGGGGGGGGAAATCTTAGTATACTTGGGATATGAAACTTTCTAAACTTTGAGAGATATTTTGCTTCTCCCATTCCGGAGAAAAGGCACATAGATAAGTTTTGTCTATTAATGCTGTATGTCCAGATAAAAGCTTTCTAGTTTTGCATTTGCTCTTGAGAAAGAACATGGACCTGAAATATATGGGCTTCTCAATTTCTGAAAAGCCTATGGGGTTTTATTTAATCTGTAATGTCTTATTGCTTCAGGGTTCATCATCTTTAGCCTATGTTATTGTTTAGCCAATAAAGACTTCAGGAAAAAATGAGTGTCCTGTCAATTGCTATAGCATTGTCCCTTTGTTCAAACGTTAGGCAAGCACACATGAAGAACATCAGAAGCACAAGACTAAGGGAGGAGAGACAGTTATGGAGCACATCACCAAGCATCCGCTACAGAACAGGTATTAGCAGTAAAATGGGGCACACCATTTTATTTTATTATGTCCAATGTCCTGATCTTGGGCTTCAATATTCTTTTTTCTTACCTGTCATTCCTTTTATGAACTATAAATGTCCTGAACACATATATCTACCGTATATGCCGGCGTATAAGACGACTTCCGGAAGCGCTAAACTTGGCGCCAAAGACGGGGGTCGTCTTATACGCCGAGTTGTCTTATACGCCGGAAATACTGGTAGTTTCTGGCGTATAAGACGACGTTCTAGGAATGCGGCTTGGCGATAAAGACGGGGGTCATCTTATATGCCGGGTCGCCTAATACGCTGGCATATACGGTAAATGTCAGAAATATTTGGTGGTTTGTTCTCAAAGAGCAGTTAAGAAACTTATGTGCATCTGCAGATTTTATACATATCACATAGGAAAATACTTTCAGCTTATGGATATATATTAACTGTCTTCGGTCTACTTTCTCTTATTAGTAGGAATCACATTCTTCAAGTAATATATTTGTTCATTATCAAATGATTAAGATCATCCAACTTTCATTTTTATAGTTTTTTTGCAAGAAAAGGAGAAAAGGCGAAAAGCCTGATTTTTTTTTTCAGGTATTCTAGAATGAAAATTTAGTATGTATTGGCTACAAATATCAGTTCTGATTACACTTAGACTGAGCTGAGCACTTATTGGTTCCATAAGATAAGCCTTAAGAAGCATGAGGATAATTTGGCTTAGCTTTTAAAGACCATATCCCTGACCTTGTTCTGGTTTAGTAACTTCACTGTACCTTCCTTTAATTCATAGGTGGGCCTTATGGTTCTTCAAAAATGACAAGAGCAAAACCTGGCAAAATAACTTGCGGCTTGTTACCAAGTTTGATACTGTGGAAGACTTCTGGGCGTGAGTGTTTCCTTATCCCCTTCCGCGCACATTAATATTTCAATCATACAATCCCAAAGAAATAATATGATTGTAGGTTACATCATTTAGCACGTGGATTAAACAGCAGTATGTTCACATTGGTCAGAGGAAAAATATAGAAGATTCTGGAGAACTTCTGTATAAATTATTAATAATACAAATGCCATTTGCTATTTTTTCCTTCACTGGTAACAAATATGGGAGCTTGTTAGAATATAATTTACTGATATAGAGTAGGATCTTCCTTCATTCCAATGCCTTGGGGTATCTGTAATTCTGTAAGTAATTCAGTAGATACAAAGGTTTTCCTAAACAAATCAATTATGGAAAGCAATTATTTCCTACATGGCATTTAGATCAATATTAACTTCCTGATAAAGAATTCTTGAGGTGCACCTGCATTCCTCATTTTCAGGGAAGCAATTATCTTAGCCTACAGTACTGCAGCAAAACCAGTCTTATACCGTAACTCCCAAGTGAACTGCAATCTACAAAATTTGATGCCAGCTCTGTGGGCAATTCCAATAGCACCCTTCTTGTAAATTGCTGCAAACTTTGCAACACAGGAAGTCAGTGAAGCATCCAGAGATCTTCTAGCTAATAATTAGCAGGGTGTTATTGTTGTTGTTTAATGACATTAATCCAGTTTCCTATCCTAAGCTACTAAGTGTCCTGGAGCAATAAAATACCCCACCTCCCCAATTTCACACAAAAAGGAAAAATACATAGTTAGCAGGCCTCTTTCCATCCATGTTTCCAGAACATCTTACATGCATTTGCTACTGTTTACAAAAAATAAAATAAAAAAAAATATCTGAGCAGTTGTGGAAAAAGAAAGTTACTGGGAAGTTACTCTTCTTCTAATGCATTTAAAACAACTGCTAAATGGATTGCAACTCTGACTGGTTGATAATTGACCCCTGAATAGAAGAATTGTTATAAAATACTGCTTTCACTGATGCCTTGACAATTGGAAACACATTGGATTACAAAAACCATATATAAAGATAAGAACTATATAAGATTTGGTTGTTTGGATTTTGAGATTGGCTGGTTTGATAAGGCTAATTACAGAGACTATGGTACTGGTGAAAGACTATTTGGAGGGAGGAGATGAAATGGATATTGCATATTTATCTAAAAGGAACAGGAAACCACATCTAATATTCCCTTCTGAAAGATTTCGCCTGGAACATCAGAGATCTGCAGGAGTAATACTCCAAGACAAGACATGCACTTTTCAGGAGGAAATGTATGCAATGCTATGACAGATTACAATGACAATAATTTCAAACCACAATGAGATCAAATACCAACTTTGATGATATAAATGAGCACATCTTCAATCTAAACTTACAATTAAAAAACTCTCAGAAAACGATGATAAAGAATGAACAAACAAATCAGATAACGGAACATAAACTAGAAGAAAGTGACTTAAACAGGGAAGCTACAAATGAAGAGAATTACAACTTAACATACACAGAAAAAAATCTACAAGATTTTACCACAACAATGAAAATGGAAAAGATATTTTATCCGTCAGAACTTCAAAACAAATTCAAGGATAAGAAAGAAGATTTAACAAATTGGATTATAGAGCTGCCAAGAAAATCATCAGAGTCTGGGAGACAAAAAGCATACATCCTACTCAACTTGTCTTTCTCATTCCTAACAACACATACAAAAATATAGGAACTTCCTGGCAAGCGGAATATACTAACTTGGAAAGTTATTTGGCAAAAGAAGAAGGCTAGAGTTAGACTTAAGAGATCTGATTCGACTTACCAGATGGAGTACTACATGATTAAACATTTGTTTGAATATGGTTAAAAAAATAGATAATTTTGGATATAAAGGGGCCCTATAGTAAGAGGGATAAGAGATATAACTAGTATAGTATTTTTTACAATATATGAAATGTTAAAATACTGAGATGATGTATGCAAATAGAAAGTTTGGACATTTAAAGGTAATTAATTTTGAGAGAATTATGACGAGAAGAATGATTTGAATACCGAGGGGAAATTAAGCTTAAATAAGAATTTTGAAAACAGGACATGTAGTGACTTAACAAGATGACTTTTATAAATATAATTGAAATATAAGCGTTTCAGAAATGATGTTATATGTGGATGTTATGTAAGATATATAAGTAATATAGCATTTTATAATATATGAAATATGAAAATATTGGGATGGTGTATGACTGTAAATGAAAAGTTTAGATGTTTAGGTAATCAACTTTGAGAAAACTATGACTGATAAGAATGGTTTGAATACTGAGGGGAAATTAAGTTTAAATAAGAGTTTTAAAAACAGGACACATAGGGACCTAACAAGATGACTTTTATAAATACAATTGAAACATAAGTTAATTAGAAAAGATGTTATGTATAGATGTCATGGTTATTTGTACAAACACAAAAAATGTTTATATCCAACCTTGTATGCATTGAAAATATTAAGAATTATATTTATCTAATGTTGACAAAGGAGAATACTATTGGAAGAAGGGAAGATCAAGGAAACATACTATTAATTAATATATTGATCATGGAATTATAGAGATTAATCATTATTGATTGTTTTTTCAAATATATGAACCCAGACAACCCACTGTTTACTAAGCACTAAAGATTGTTATTGTAAAAAATCAATAAAATATGTTTTTAAAAAAACAACTGCTAAAAGTATAGCTGACTGTAATCTCACAATCAGGTGCTTTCCCCAGTAGCTATAGCTGTATTTACATATAATTATAGTGGAGGAGAAAGGGAAGATATATTCTAAGGACTACCTGCAAACAGTCAATAGGAATAGGATGTTGAAGGTTGCCAGTGATAAGGAAAAGGAGAGATGGTCCTGGAGTAGCAAACCACCACCACTTTGCACACAAGAGAAAGAAAAATTGCTAGCCTCCATGTGGAAAGGGAGAAAAAAAATCAAGGATCAGTCTTGCTATCTACTGTGGAAGAAAGGGGGAAGATGAATCCATGTTTTGTCCACCCTGGCTTCTTTTGCGTGAGAAGAATCTGCAGACTCAAAATACTGTCGTCTGGATTAATCCTATCTGAATGTTAAAATGGAATCAGAAGGATGGTGTATATTTGTCTGATCATATGCACCCATCCTCCCAATTCAGGGCAATTGCTGTGAAGCCATTGAGCCACCTCTGCCCTTTAAGGACCTGTAAAAACAATGTTAAAACACCTAAAACACCTAAGAGTGAGCCAATGAGAAAACTGATCACCCATAACATCATTGTTCCTTCTTTCCTTCCTTCCTTCCTTCCTTCCTTCCTTCCTTCCTTCCTTCCTTCCTTCCTTCCTTCCTTCCTTCCTTCCCTCCCTCCCTCCCTCCCTCCCTCCCTCCCTCCCTCCCTCATTCATTCATTCATTCATTCATTCCTACCCATTGGTTCATTCTATAGAGAAAATTCTAGGAACTGAGTACTTTATCCTTGTTCAACTATTCCTTAAATAATTATGAAGATAAAATGCATAGCACTGACATTGTTTGGAAAATGAACTGTGTCTCCTTGCTAAAAATGTCACCTGAAATATGTAAAATGCAGCTAGGCCAGCTGAGTGCTGTAGGAAGTTAATAATGCTTTCCTGTGATATGAACGTGGATTTAGTGGAAAAAATTCTGGGTTAGGGTTTTCGAGATACCGATGCAATTTTGATTTCTTATAGAAATAAAGTCATTCAATTATATTGCTAACATCTCTCTCCTGTTCTTCAAATTGCAGGCTATATAGTCATATCCAACTAGCTAGCAAGCTGACGTCTGGCTGTGACTATTCTCTTTTCAAAGTAAGTTCTCTTCCAGGACTTGTTAAGTCCCAACAACCTGACCCCAAACCCATTGAATTGTGACATGAGGGTCTCTTATATGAAGGTAAACAGAGAGTTTATACTGGTAGTATACTTTGAATCCCTTTATTGTGAAGCTTAACTCTCTCGACTTGTGCATTGTTCTAATATAGGACTTTATCTGCTATAATTATGCTGGCTGGGAAGTCAGTATATTTGGAAGTTGTCCATATTAGGGAATAATGATTTAATTTTATGCCTTACTTGCTGGCATAAAACCAGTGCTTCCCATCTGAATGTATCTGTAACTTAACACATAGTGAGAATGTATATGACTCACACACATCCACTAGGTAGGCCAGACCAAGAAATCAACAGCAAGAATCCTAAAATTACTTTTACTGAGACTGATTGCAAGTCTGACTCTGTTATCTCTCCTCCTTCTCCTTATAGTTCAGTGAATTAGGATGGTGCCTGTCTGAATTTCTTCCAAAAGTTATCTGGACATTCTGAACTTAAAACATGTTTTATTTTTTGTTGCTTTGGCAACAAAACTTGAATATCTTCATCAAGATCATCTTCCTTATTCTGTACACAGCAAGCAGTTATTATCTTTAACATTTTTTCTTTCAGGATGGTATTGAACCCATGTGGGAAGATAACTGGAACAAGCACGGTGGTCGTTGGCTTATCACATTGGCCAAGCAGCAGCGGCATACAGAACTTGACCGTTTCTGGTTAGAGACTGTAAGCAAGCAGAATGCAGTTTATATCTTTCCCCTTGCTCTATTCATTTCTGAAACCAGGTGGTTCTCTGGATTGTGGCCATATTTCGGTAATGGATCCAAAAGCTCATCTCTGTCTCTCTTTAGTAGATAGAGCTACTTATATAATTGTTCAGTTTCAGTACTTTCTTCCACAAATGAGACCACACTTGCTTATTCGGAGATGGGCAATATGCCCTCAGACTAATTTAAAAAGTGTTTAAAAGCAATCAGTTAGACATCTGGTGTGCTTCCCTTCCCCCTCTTTTCTAACAGCTTACTGGGCAGAAGAAGAAAAAATATTGAAAAAGAGATTAAAAAAAATGTTGAACAGAGAGGGTGTAATCCTGAACACAGTAGGGCTACCAGATATGGGTCACAAACATCCAGACCTTTGGATGGCAACTAAGAGAACTAACTAACTACATATAGGAAACTGTATTTTTTTTGTTGAGGTTTGTCGGCCATTCGGATTCTTGCAGCCCAAGAATGTAGACACATGTTTGATTTAAGCATTTTTCACTTATTAGGTTCATGTGTAGAAAAGATTAGTTCTCATTTATCTCTCAAGAGTCTATTCTTCCCCCCCCCCCAATATCAATATTAAACTCTTCAGGGCAGGAAAAACCTGGTACATCAGACGAATGCTAATATCTGGTTCCCTGTATATTTCATGTGGATTTTCTTCCTGCCCCTTTTTTGTAGTTGCTGTGCTTGATTGGAGAGATGTTCTGTGACTACAGTGATGATGTCTGTGGGGCAGTCATCAATATTCGTGCCAAAGGGGATAAAATTGCCATTTGGACCCGGGAGGCAGAGAACCGGGATGGAGTAATTCATATTGGGTGAGTGTCACCTTCAGAGGGCCCTCCCAGGCTGAGGAATGTACTTATCTGAGAGATGGCCTTTTCAGTGGCAGGTCCCATGGACTTTAGAAAGTCTGTTACTGTTAGAGAATTTTAATTTCTCTGTTGATGAAAAAATAAATCAGAAGCTCTCACAGTTGACTGCATTTAGCTGATTCAAAATAACTTCTTTGTATTCATATCAAAATATTTACAACACCATACATTCTTCTTTACAGCAACATAGCTCAATGAAGACCTCTTACAGAGAGATACAGAGACAAACCTGAGACTGAAAATTCAGCTCCTAACTCAGTAACCTTTTGCACAGACTCAGTAGCACTTTCTTCACATTGGCTGACTGAGTTACCACATGACTCTTCCTGTTCATGAATATTCCAACAGTTACCATGTTTCGTGCCCTTTTGGCACCTAGGAAAGACAGATTAATTCTCCATAAAACACAACTGTAAAAACAATACACATACAATCAGCAACAAACCAACATCAGGCATTAGAGTATTGCCATGATGTTAACTTGGTGCTTTTACTTTTTCTTCACATTTTAATATATCTTATGGATTTCACTTTGTATTTTGTATTTTACAAAATGTCTTAATGTATGTTTTTATTGTTTTTCCTTTTTCATTGCAATTCTTTTATTGTAAATGGCTCTATAGATTTATTAAATGGGATTTCTTTAAAAGGAACCATAAGAAATGTGTGAAATAAAAACCAACGGGGATTGATATCTTTAATGGCGCTCACACAAAATTACTTCAATCTCTCTTTCAGGCGTGTGTATAAGGAACACCTGGGCCTCTCTTCAAAAATGGTAATTGGTTATCAGGCTCATGCAGACACAGCTACCAAGAGTGGCTCCCTTATGAAGAACAGATTTGTTGTGTGAGCTCACTGGGCTTGAACTCAACCCTTGGCAGGATGGCTAAAGATGAGCTGCATGAAGATTTAGCATGTAACTACTCTTCCCATTAAAATGTAACCAAGCATTCTGGATTCTTGACTGGACTAGAGTTATATGGAAAGCATTTATACTTGGGGGGCAAAATCGTTCTTACCCTCAATTTTAAGCTAAGTTTAAGCCTTTAAGCTAAGAGAATGTCACTTAAAGAAGAATGTGCTTCATGTAACTTTCGAGTTCTGTGATCAGAAAAGACTTAAATGAGGTCAAAAGAATTGTGGGAACTACTTGGTACCAAGGCAGCAGAAGAACTTGCCAAGAAACAGAACTTGCCTCTTTGCTTCTAGTTTGTTCCCTAAAACTAGGCTCCCTTCAAGTTTTACATGGCCTCGGGGTGAGATACCACATAGAAAAATACTTTATTTTCAGTAAAAAGATGTAATGTTTTTCTATTTCCAAAGAAAATGCATTTTGTGAAAAAGTGGTTCAATCATGCAATTTTTTTCCTTTTGAAGATCTATGTACAGGGCTTAAAGGAACTCAGAGTTACAGAACCAGTTCTCAAGTACAGTTTGGGTAGCACATAAACATATTCTGGTGTTGTTAACTTCAGCCACCAGCGTTTAAGCCCTTCCTCTGTCAGATACTGAATGAGCTGGGTGCAAGAGCCGTTGAACCGAAAGAAGCAGTGATAGACAGTCTTCCTGAAACAGTGTATAGCTGTGAAGAATGCTACACAGCTGATTTGAAGGGCAATGAGTTGACTTCCTATGATTAGCCTCTGCAATTGAGATGACATCAGGTTTGTGCTGGGCAATTCAACACTGCTATTCATTAATTGCTATGAATAATGCAAGCAACAGGATGTTTGCCTGTAATAACTAGCCCTGAAATGCCTACATAAATATGGCCATCTGCAGTGGAAAAACTACAGCCTAGGTGGAACAATTCTACAGGATGTATGCACATGTGGGTGCATATGTGCATATTTATGTACATCTGTAGGGGTGGGAATGAAAATTGATTTGTTCCAGACCTTATATGATTGCACTAAGTTATGAAGCCCAGACTGAAATCAAAACCCACTTTTATTTCTGCTAGAACAGCCATCAGCAGTACTGTTACTCTCTTTGGTATGGAATCTAACTTAATCTATATATGCTACCTGTTGAATCCTCGAATCAACGGCGAATGAATACAGCACATTCTGTAATTCCAACAGCCCTTTATTTAAGGTAGTTCTCTCTCGATCACAGCTCTGAGGCTCGCAGGCCTCTCTGACTCTTTTAATAGCATCCCTGGGCAAAAAGGTAACATTCTGGCGCGCTTCCACGCCTCGTGCATGCGCGCGAAGCTCGCACCACTCAGTCTGGTCCCGGGCAGCTTGCAACTGCCCGGGATCATTGCAACGTCCCGAGCCTGCCTTTTTAGGCTCAGGACACAACACCCCTTCCCCCCTGGATGAGACTTATTAACTATATAGATAGTTATACGCGACCTCAACACAAGCGTGGTGTGCCAACCCCAAACCTGCACATCTATTGCAGCTGTGCAATAGCCACACCACAAATGGTACTGGGCTATTGTTTTGGAATTAACTACCCAATGCTCACACTCCCAGTTTTCCAACAACAGCAGGCACCCTCTCACTTTCCTTGCTTTGACAGCAGGGTTACAAAGTCCTCAAGATACTTGGGAGATCTTTTTACTCTCTGTGACCTCCTCAGGTTCTGAGAACCCCCTACTTCCTCTTGTGCAGAGGATGAAGTGGAGTTGCCCCCTCTTTCAAACCCTGGTGGTTCCCGTGAAACGTGTCCCGTTGCCTGGTCTGCTTGCTTGCCCACCGGGCTCATCAGACCAGGACTTTGCTCCCCCATAAACCTGGTTGACCTGCCTAACTGTAGGCTCTCGGGCCCTTCTGTATGCCTGCCAATGTTTAGCATTTCTGTAGAGCCTTCCAAGTTCACAATGGACCTATCAAGGGAATGCATCCCTTCACTCCCAAGCCCCGTAACGGTATTGTCTGGGGTCTCTGCAGTGCCCCAATACTCAGTTGCCCCCCCCCATCTATGCCGGAGGTGCCAGAATTGGGATTTGCCTCTCTGACCACCTCCCTGTGTGAAGACTTCCTTTTGGAAGCAGTAGCAGTACTGGGCCAACTTGACTGTTTGTGTGCCAGTTTTCTTGCAATGTTTGGGTTATTAGGATGCTCCCGGTTATTCTCCCTGACTGGAGTACTGAATGGTAGTTGTGAATGATGAGTATGCCCCCTGGGTGACTCCCTGGCTGGAATAGGCACTGGTGCCTGTATTATTTCTTGTTCCCCAGAATTTCTGTTTGGAACACTTGCGGAACCTTGGAACAGGCCGTCTTCGGCCTCTCCGTTTGGCCCCGGCTGCTGCCAACACCCTTCCCTTTGCCCATAGTGGTCCCCCTCCCCCCTGGAGAAAGCCCAGGAGTTGCAGAGGGTAAGTCCAGTCTCGTACGCAGCTGATCAATATGCCACCGAAGGACACGACCGTTATCCAAGGAGACCTCGTATGACAATGGACCAGTAACCTTGCATACTACAGCAGGAACCCACAAGTGACCGGGCCCGTAGTTCCGGGTCCATACTGGGGCACCCACTTGCAGACACCGCGATGCCCTGGGTTGGGTGACCTTAGGAGGCAGTCTGTCCGGGTGCAACCTGTCAAGTTTGGTGATCAGTTTGCACCCCCAATGGAGTTCAGCTGGGCTCTTCCCAGTGGAAGTTGAAGGTGTGGTGCGGTAAGCAAGAAGAAAGCCTGCCAACCTGTGGTGCCAGTTCCCGTAGGTCAGTTTCTTTAAAGCATCCTTGGTGATGCGGACCATCCGTTCAGCCATACCGTTGGTGGAAGGGTAGAATGGTGCAGAAGTAGCATGACGAATCATGTTGGCCTGCAAGAAAGCCTGAAACTCGAAAGAAGTGAATTGAGGACCATTGTCAGACACCAGGACATCTGGGAGCCCATGTGCAGCAAAAATCCCTCTCAGTACTTGAATGGTCTTGGCAGCAGTGGTGGAAGAGACAGGTACAACCTCAAGCCACTTTGAATAGCTATCAACAAGGACCAAGAAGAATTGACCCTGAAAGGGCCCAGTGTAATCTATGTGCACCCTAGACCAAGGTGACTGTGTTTCCTCCCATCTATGTACAGGAACCTGAGGCATTTCTGGGTGTGAGTGCTGACACAAGTGGCATCCATGCACTTGAGCCTCTATCTCCCTGTCTAACCCTGGCCACCATAAATGGCTGCGCGCAAGCGCCTTCATCCTGACAATGCCAGGATGGCCCTCATGGAGGGAAGCCAAGACCCTAGGTCTCATTGAGGTAGGAATAACAACTCTGCTGCCCCACAACAGACAACCCTGAAAAGTGGATAACTCATGCTTCTTGAGTCAGAAACTCTGAAACTCAGTACCTGGACAACTCTCAGGCCATCCAGACAAGACCCAGGACAATACATGAGTGAGTGTGAGATCCGTGGCTGATTCAGCAGCCACATCCCTGGCATTTAAGGGCGACTCAGGTAACGCCTGAATGGAAAGAATGTTGATGGCAGGGGCAGGGTCAGCCTCTACCATTTGTAAAGGTAATCTACTAAGGCCATCAGTGTGGCCTATTTCCTTGCCAGGTTTGTGAACCAAGGAAAAGTCATAGGCTGACAGAAAGATGGACCATCTCAGCATTCTAGGGGAGATGATATGGGGAGTTTGTTTGTTTGTAGTAAACAACCCCAACAGAGGCTTATGGTCAGTGTAGACCGTGAAGTATCTGCCATATAGAAAATCATGGAATTTTTTAATTCCAGCAACAATGGCCAAGGCTTCTCTATCTATCTGAGCATAGTTTCGCTCAGCAGAAGACAAGGTTCTGGAGTAATATGCAACAGGAACCTGAGTTCCATCAGGTCTTAAATGGCTGAGTACAGCTCCCACCCCATAAGGGGAAGCATCACAAGCGATGCACACAGGAAGAGTTTCATTAAAATGTGCAAGCACATCATTTGATGCAAGTAAGGCCTTGACCTCATTGAAGCTTTCTTCATGTGCTTGTGACCACTGCTACACTGCCTGTTTGTCTAAGAGTCTATGAAGTGGCTCAGCTACATTAGCTTTGTTAGGTATGAATGCATTGTAAAAATTCAAGAGGCCCAGAAAAGCTTGTAATTCAGCTTTAGATTTAGGCCTAGGAGCTTGCAGTATAGCCTTTAATTTAGACTCAGCAGGGTGAATGCCCCTGGCATCTATTCTGAATCCCAGGAAATCTGTGGAAGACACTCCAATTTTGCATTTGTCTTTTTTAAGCTTGAGGCCTGTTTTCCTGAAACGCAGTAGAACAGCCCTCAATCTCTCAGCTAAATTTTGAGTGGATTCTCCTGCTATTAGGACATCATCAAAATAGGGGCAAACCCCTGGTATACCTCTCAGAGTGTTTTTCATTACACTTTGGAAAATTCCAGGAGCTACATTTACTCCAAATTGTAGTCTTTTGACTTTGAATGCCCCTCCTGTGAGTTACAATAGTCTGTGCTTCAGCAGCAGCTTCATCAACAGGTAACTGTTGATAAGCCTGTGCTAAATCCAGCTTTGCAAAAACACGCCCCCCCTTTGAGGGAGGCCAAAATGTGGCTGACTACAGGTACAGGATATGCATGCTGTTGCAATGCCTTGTTTAGAGTACATTTGTAATCTGCACAGATGCGAATGTCCCCATTAGCCTTGAGAGGTGTAACTATGGGAGTTTCCCATGGACTTGAGTCAATAGGTTCTAAGACATCTTGCTGAATCAATTTGTCCAATTCAGCATCAATTTTCCCTTTCAAAGCAAAGGGTACTCTCCTTGCTTTTACTCTAATAGGAGTGACAGTGGGGTCCAGTTTCAAGTAAACTGGGGGGCCTTTGTATGCTCCCAGTTGGGGGCTGAAGACATCTGCAAATTCTTTGCAGACTTCCTGTAGACCTAATGTTTGCAAATTGTGAAGCCCTGTAACTTGTATTACCAAGGCCTCAAACCAATCGAGTCCAATGAGACTCGTGCATTCACCCCCAACTACCAATACATCTAATGGACCTTCAAAATCCTTGTATTGTACTTTAAGGGTGGCCTCCCCCTTAACACACACCTTGGAATTTTGGAAGTCTGTTAAGACTATATTGGATGGCCTAAGCTTGGCCTGGAACCCACTGCTAAAGCAAATCTTTCTGAAAGTGTGAATGGAAATAATTGAAAGTGCAGACCCAGTGTCCAGTTCCATAACCAATGGAACTCCTTGCAACTTCACCTTAAGAGACAGTTTCTTTTTAAGTGACCTGTGTGTGCCTGTCCTATAAATGCTTCTACGTGATACACAGAAACCCACCCTATTTTGGCTGGGGACCCTAGCACCTTTCAGGCGCAATTCTTCTCGGGGTTGTACCTTCTGACGGCCCAGAACACAGCTGCTATGTGGCCTTGCTTTCTACGTGCTCTACAGATTGCAGAACAGAACCTGCAGTCGGTCCTCTTGTGGCGACCTCCACACTCGAAGCACTTGGGTACAGCTGAAGGCTTTTCTTTGCCTTCCTTCTGCTTCCTTTCTTTGGCTGGGTAGAGATGATCCACCTCATCTTCAGGATCTTCTTCCGAGCTCTCCTGGACTCCCTCATGGTGCACGGAGACGGCTTCTGGGTTGTTCCTGATAGGCCTCATGTTCTTGACTGCCCCACCTGCTGCCTCTTCTGCAGTGACCTCTCTCAAGGCATCTTGGAATGAAATGTCCTCCTTTGCAAAGAGTCTCTGTTGCAAGTCTCTGTTCCTAAGGCCACATACAAATCGGTCTCTCAACCTTTCTTCTAAGCCTTTAAATTCACAAGACTTAGCTGCTGTTCTCAAGGCTGCAATGTATTCTTTAGCTGATTCACCAGCTCTTTGATCCCTCTGTTCAAAAGTGTGTCTCCACGCAATAACAGACAACTGGGGCTGAAAATGTTCCTTCAATAATTTTTTAAAATCTGTATAAGTGACAGATTCAAGAGGAGCAGGGGCTGCCAAATTTTCAGCAATTTCAAATGCATCTTGACCACAGACACACAGCAAAGTAGCGGCTTTCAAGCCATTTTCTCTTACTTGATTTACTCTAAAGTAATTTCTACTCTGGCAACATAAGACTCCCATCTTTCTGGGTGCGTGACATCGAATTCAGACAGTCTCCCTATCTTCGCCATTCTTGCTTCTCTGTTAGGAAGGGGTCTATCAGCCAGCTTACCTCCAGCGACGCTGTACTGGCAGGCCAGGTGCTGAGTTTAACGCCCTCTTCCTCTCTCCAGGACTCTTGGGTAAGCTTACAATTCTTTTTTGTTTTTGTAAGCTATCCCACCTTCGTCGCCAATGTTGAGTCCTCGAGTCAACGGCGAATGAATACAGCACATTCTGTAATTCCAACAGCCCTTTATTTAAGGTAGTTCTCTCTCCGTCACAGCTCTGAGGCTCGCAGGCCTCTCTGACTCTTTTAATAGCATCCCCGGGCAAAATGGTAACATTCTGGCGCACTTCCGCACCTCGCGCATGCGTGCGAAGCCGGCGCCACTCAGTCTGGTCCCGGGCAGCTTGCAACTGCCCGGGACCATTGCAACGTCCCGAGCCTGCCTTTGCAGGCTCAGGACACAACATTACCCATCTCACATCTATTTAGAGACAAAGATATAGTAACTTTCAAATCACAGTATAAACTCCAAAGGCTTCAGATGTACCTAAAACTAACTGATACCACTCTCCTCAGATAAAGGCCAATTCTTTGTTATTCTTTTACTAACACAAATGAAAACCAGGGCATTTACAGCTTATAATAAGTAGGATTTTTTGCTCAGGTCTTTTGGCCCCCTTCTCATGCAGAGTTAATTAACTTGGTTTTAATGATTAACGAGAACATCAATGATTATACACCAGAAGTCTTTCTTTCATTTTTTTAAAAAATTGCTTAAAATATTTATATGTGGGAACTGCCTGATTGGATTAGGTTAAATAGAGGTTAATTATAGAAACAAAAAAAAATGCATCCTGTGTGGAGAACGCCCACTGCAGCTTTAATCTCTGTACTCAGAATTTAGTACATAAAGTTTATATGGGTTGCTAATGGATAACACTATTACTCAGATAAGATATGTAGGTGGGAAGCTTTTTTTAATGAGTACATTCCTGTTTCATATTAAATAACACTTGTGCTAACATAATAGATGAAGAAAGAGGAAAAGTGAATAATTAATAAATGTTAAGTGGCAAAGAAATGGCAAAATAGGGCCTTAACGATTTGTCTACTGAAATAGCTGTCAAGAGGAAAGCTCACTCAGGAACTGGGTAGCTAAACTGACAGGAAGAATATAGTAAGGATGGGGGGGGTACCTTTTTGTGGAAGACAGGAAATAGCCAAAGTTACTATAAGAAAGATGTGAAGTATTGTATTTCAGCATAATGTAGTAGTAGTTCATTAATCATCTTAGGGATGTGCTTGAATGTTTTAGCCTCTATTTGAACATCTCTCCCCACTTTCTTATTCAAAGACAATGATATCTATATAATTATGGAGCACACATACAGAATAGAGTTGGAAGGGACCTTGGAGGTCTTCTACTCCAACCCCTGCCCAAGCAGGTGACCATATACCATTCTGGAGAAACTGCTGTCCTATCTCTGCTTATAAACTTCCAGTGATGGAACACCCACAACTTTTGAAGGGAAGCCATTGATCGTTTGTTCTCACTGCCAGGAAATTTCTCCTAGGTTGCTTCTCTCTTTGATATTTTTCCATCTGTTACTTCTTGTCTTGCCCTCAGGTACTTTGGAGAATAGGTTGACCCCCCTCTTCTTTGTGACAGCCCTTCAAATATTGGAAGATTGCTATCATGTCATCCCTTGTCCTTCTCTTTGTTAGATTAGACATACCCAGTTCCTGAAGCCATTCATCATAAGTTTTAGCCTCCAGACCCCTAATGATCTTCATTGCTCTTCTTTGCACTCTCTAGAGGCTCAACATCTTTTTTGTAATATGGTGACCAGAACTAGACATAGTATGTCAAGTCTGGTTTTACCTCAGAAACAGTGACTTGGAACCTGACCTCAAAGTTATGACCATTGCACTGCATCTGTGGTCTCCTTATTGCAGTTTGGGCACTTGGCAATTGGCTTGCATTTACAGTGGTTGCAGTATCTTCTGGTGATGTGAGCTGATTTGCAACCTTCCCAGCCAGCTTCCACAACCAAAGTCAATTGGGGAAACTTAATTGGATTCACTTAATACCGTGTGATTTGCATAATGCCCTCAGTAAAAATGGTCATAAAACCAGGTCCAGCCCTGCGATGATTTGTTGAATGACTGCATCACTTAGCAAACAAATTCTGGTCCTAATTGTGACTGTACGTTTTGACTACCTATATGAACCTGATTACTTTTATTTGTTACTTATTGAATGTCTTTTTTCCAGGAGATTAAAACAGTGGCATCACTTCTATTATTAACCATACAACTCTATGGCCAAGAAAATATTTGCATCTAAAATGCTCAGTAAGCCTCCATGGCTCCAGCAGTCTAAGCATCTAGGTCTCCTGAGCCGCCCTCCAACACCTGAACTAATATTACTAATTCCTGTTTATTAATGCAAAGTTTTCTCTGAATTTAATTTTTAAAATGGGGAGTATTCAAAGAGTATTCTTCTGTTAGAATAAGACACATCTTCAGCAGTTGGTCTTAGATGTCGTGAAGGGCAGCAATGTTTGCTCTATTCTCTCTACTCTCACGACAGAAGCTCATTGCCATTTTCCCTTTAGTACTTGCTTAAAAGGGCTCAGTTTTCTGTGTATATAGTGTGCATTTTTTTTTTTTTTTTGCACAGAGCTCCCCAGGTGGGAGAGGTCACTGGGACACCAGCAGGTTGACTGGAATTTTTTGTAACCTAAAAGGGGCTGCTTTTTCTGAGATGATGATAATGGAAAATAAAAACATACTGTAGTCTAACACTTTAACTCAGGGGTAGGCAACCTTGGCTCTTTTATGACTCGTGGAATTCTGGGAGTTGAAATCCATGAGTCATAAAAGAGCCAAGGTTCCCTACCCTTGCTCTAACTCAGTGGTTCTCAACCTGTGGGTCGGGACCCCATTTGGGGTCGAATGACCATTTCACGGGGGTCGCCAAACAAGGCTGTCCGCCATTTTTTCCCCCTTTTCTTTGGCCATGCCCCTGGCACCCAGTGATGTATAAGTGGTCGGGGGTCACCAAAACATGGGGAACTGTATTATGGGGTCGCGGCATTAGAAAGGTTGAGAACCATTGCTCTAACGGAAGCATTAAGTGCAATATGTATACCTTCCCCTACATCCCATTCCTCTGGGGTAAAAAAGAGCCTAACACACACACACACACACACACACAATCACATTAAATTGCAACAAAATACAAGTTATAGGTAAGATGAGGAAATAAACATTTATTGCAAATAAACATATTTATTTTTTAAAAAAGCAAATTTCTTTGCGTTTGCATTATGTCTCGGAAGGGAGCGCTTCTATTTTGAGCCTCAGCAGACTGAGGATTCTACAGCTGTGCTCCCGAGTTCCCATACCGGACATGTTTTCCGAGACTCCAGCGGAGAGGGGCAGCGGTGGTACCGGTAGGAGCGTGGGAATACAGGCTCTGCCGAAGTCCGGATAGAGAACCGTGCACGCGCGTGCCGCTGCAGCAGCTCTCCCTCAACTCCGCCAGGGGGCGGGCTGGACAAGGCGATCCCGCGGCGGCGCTGGGCCTCGGCTGAGGGGCAGCATGGGGCTGTGAGCTCAGGCCCCGCGCTCGCCATGCCAGGGAAAGCCCAGCACTTCCAGGGTCCTCAGGTCAGCTGCTGCGCCAAATACCTGCTCTTCGCCTCCAATGTGCTCTTCTGGGTGGGTGAGCGCGAGCGAGCGAGCGAGTCGCGTCCCGCGGAGGCGGTCGGTCGGTCGGCGGGCGGGCGGAGTGGCGCTTGCACCGCTTCTACCTGGGCGGCGGGGAGGCCAGGACGAACGGTGGAGTGACTGGGCTTTGGCGTTCCACGTCCGTGCCGTTTGCAGCGAAGTCCGGGGCCCCGGGCGGGAGGGAGGTCGCTGGCTTCCCGGGAACAGAGGAGGGGAGCTCCCCTTCGCCTAGCTGCGGAATCCTGCAAAGGCTGGACACGCGAGGCGGGTGCTCGCGGCGTCCGGATGGTCCCGCGCCGCGCGTTGAGCGCGACGGACTCGGCGCTCGAAAGTTTTTAGGCAAGGATGTCCTTGGTTCTACCAAGCCTCTCGCTGCCCCCCCGGTCGGTGTCTGAAGACCGGCCGATGTCTTGCTCCGAGTCTATGTTCCTACTTCAGTTTCTCGGCAGTTTCGAGCAGAATCAGGAAAGGTTTTCCTATAATAAAATATGTAATCTTTGCCTGTCTCTTCTTTCTGGCATAGCAGCCTTTTCTCTTATCATCGTCTTCTGGGGGAAAAAGTTATTACTGTATTTAGCAGGGTGCTAGTAACTTCGATCCACTGCCGGCATAGTTTAGATCTTATCCTGAAAGCCAGCTCCTTTAGTAAGCATGCACTCGGAAGTTCCTTAATCCCTTTGTTTTGAGGAAATTCATACTGCGAAACTGTACAGCTGCCCCACCTCATTCTTTCTTGCAGGTATTTTACACAGTGTTTGTTCCAAATCCTGGTATTGTATGTATCTTTAGTTTGGGTTCACACCTGGTGTTAAGGTGTGGTGTGATTGTCACATATGATCTGGCCTCTATCATTGTGCTTTGTAAATATGATTATGGCTAGTAGCATGACTTGATCAACAAACTCTGGGTCCACAAGCCATGACTTAGCACATTGTGTACCTTCCAATCTATCCCTTTTAGATTGTTGGACTGCATATACATTTTTTTTTTATCGATCATCACACAGCCAGATGTTCAGACTGGATTTGGCATTTTGTCTACCTATCGAGTCCTTACCCAGGACCTGGGATAGGCAGATGTGGATGTTTGATGGTATTACAGATATCGTCGCAGGATGGAAGCAGTTCCTAATAAGGCCGCCTTTTGCAATTGACTAATAGCGAATTTGTCAATGCCAATGGTGTTCAAGTGGTGCTCCAGTTGTTTTGGGATTGCACCCAAGGAGCCTATGACTATTGGTACTACCCTTGCTTGCTTTTGCCACAGTCTTTCTATTTCTATTTGTAGGTCTTTGTATTTTGTTATCTTCTCCAGTTCTTTCTCTTCTATTCTGCTATCTCCAGGCACTGCCACGTCCACTATCCAGACTTTTTTGTCTTTCTTATCGACAATTGTTAAGTCTGGGGTGTTATGTTGCAGGTGCTTGTCTGTTTGAATTCTGAAGTCCCAGAGCAGTTTAATTTTATCATTTTCTATGACTTTCTCTATTTTATGATCCCACCAGTTTTTGCTTACAGGCAAATGATATTTTTTGCAGATCTTCCAATGCACCATTGTTGCTACTTTGTCATGCCGCTGCTTGTAATCAGTTTGTGCAATCTTCTTGCAACAGCTTACCAAGTGGTCCACTGTTTCTTCAGCTTCTTTGCATAGGCGGCACTTACTGTCTGTTGCTGTCTTCTCAATTTTGACTTTGTATGCATTTGTCCTTAAGGCTTGGTCTTGTGCAGCCAGAATTAGTCCCTCGGTCTCTTTCTTCAATTTTCCTGCTCTTAGCCATTGCCAGGTTTTATTATTATCTGCTTTCCCAGCTATTTTTTTTATGTATTGGCCATGTAGTGCTTTGTCTTCCCATGCCTCTATTCTGTTCTTCATTTGGTCTTTCTTGTAGGCCAGTTTGGTCTCTCCAGTAGTTAGTAAGCCTTCCTGATATACTAATTTCAGTGCATCTTCATCATTGTTCTTCAGATATTCTTCCAAAGCCATTTTTTCTTCTTCAACCATCTGATGTACTTGTAGCATTCCACGCCCACCTATTTGCCTTGGTAGATAAAGTCTATCAATGTCACTGCGTGGATGAAGGGCATGATTCATTGTCATTATTTTTCTGGTCTGCCTATCCATTGCTTTTAGTTCTGCTTGAGTCCAGTCCACTATTCCAGCTGTGTACCTAATGACTGGGATTGCCCAGGTGTTGATTGCCTTTATGGTATTTCCTCCATTGAGTTTGGATTTTAAGATCTTCTTCACTCTCTTGATGTATTCACCTCTAATCTTTTTCTTGACTTCAGTGTGCTTGATGTTGTCAGCTTGAAGGATACCCAAGTATTTGTAGTACTCTTCCTCATCCAGACTCTTAATGTTATTTTCGTGGGGCATCTTGATTCCTTCAGTTTTCATTATTTTTCCTTGTTTGATAGTAAGTGTGGCACATTTGTCCAAGCCAAACTCCATTACAATATCTTGGCTATATATACGGACAGTGTTGAGCAGCGATTCTATTTCAGATGATGTTTTTCCATACAGCTTCAGATCATCCATGTAAAGGAGGTGGGATAGTCTGGCAGATGTTTTTGATGTTTGATAGCCATGTCCTGAGTTATTCAGTATTGTTGACAGAGGAAACAGTGCAATAACAAATAGTAATGGTGATAATGAATCTCCTTGAAATATTCCTCTCTTGATATTAACCTCTCCCAGCTCTCACCATTGATCTGCAACTGTGTCTTCCATTGTGCCATCGATCTTTGCACAAATTTTCTGATGTTTCTACTGACTCCTGTTATTTCTAGGCACTTTATTATCCAATCATGTGGCAGAGAGTCAAATGCCTTTTTGTAGTCAATCCATGCCACATTCAGGTTGGTCTTCCTTCTCTTGCAGTTTTCCAAGATCATTTTGTCTATTAGGAGTATTATTATTATGGATCATCGCACAGTCAGCCAGATGTTCAGACTGGATTTGGCATTTTGTCTACCTATCGAGTCCTTACCCAGGACCTGGGATAGGCAGATGTGGATGTTTGATGGTATTACAGATATCGTCGCAGGATGGAAGCAGTTCCTAGTAAGGCCGCCTTTTGCAATTGACTAATAGCGAATTTGTCAATGCCAATGGTGTTCAAGTGGTGCTCCAGTTGTTTTGGGATTGCACCCAAGGAGCCTATGACTATTGGTACTACCCTTGCTTGCTTTTGCCACAGTCTTTCTATTTCTATTTGTAGGTCTTTGTATTTTGTTATCTTCTCCAGTTCTTTCTCTTCTATTCTGCTATCTCCAGGCACTGCCACGTCCACTATCCAGACTTTTTTGTCTTTCTTATCGACAATTGTTAAGTCTGGGGTGTTATGTTGCAGGTGCTTGTCTGTTTGAATTCTGAAGTCCCAGAGCAGTTTAATTTTATCATTTTCTATGACTTTCTCTATTTTATGATCCCACCAGTTTTTGCTTACAGGCAAATGATATTTTTTGCAGATCTTCCAATGCACCATTGTTGCTACTTTGTCATGCCGCTGCTTGTAATCAGTCTGTGCAATCTTCTTGCAACAGCTTACCAAGTGGTCCACTGTTTCTTCAGCTTCTTTGCATAGGCGGCACTTACTGTCTGTTGCTGTCTTCTCAATTTTGACTTTGTATGCATTTGTCCTTAAGGCTTGGTCTTGTGCAGCCAGAATTAGTCCCTCGGTCTCTTTCTTCAATTTTCCTGCTCTTAGCCATTGCCAGGTTTTATTATTATCTGCTTTCCCAGCTATTTTTTTCATGTATTGGCCATGTAGTGCTTTGTCTTCCCATGCCTCTATTCTGTTCTTCATTTGGTCTTTCTTGTAGGCCAGTTTGGTCTCTCCAGTAGTTAGTAAGCCTTCCTGATATACTAATTTCAGTGCATCTTCATCATTGTTCTTCAGATATTCTTCCAAAGCCATTTTTTCTTCTTCAACCATCTGATGTACTTGTAGCATTCCACGCCCACCTATTTGCCTTGGTAGATAAAGTCTATCAATGTCACTGCGTGGATGAAGGGCATGATTCATTGTCATTATTTTTCTGGTCTGCCTATCCATTGCTTTTAGTTCTGCTTGAGTCCAGTCCACTATTCCAGCTGTGTACCTAATGACTGGGATTGCCCAGGTGTTGATTGCCTTTATGGTATTTCCTCCATTGAGTTTGGATTTTAAGATCTTCTTCACTCTCTTGATGTATTCACCTCTAATCTTTTTCTTGACTTCAGTGTGCTTGATGTTGTCAGCTTGAAGAATACCCAAGTATTTGTAGTACTCTTCCTCATCCAGACTCTTAATGTTATTTTCGTGGAGCATCTTGATTCCTTCAGTTTTCACTATTTTTCCTTGTTATTATTATTATTATTATTACTATTATTATTATTATTATTATTAATACAATGTGATAATAAACATGTGGGTAATCTGCAGTTAGATTCATAGTCTAAGAGTGGTGAAAATGTAATAGTTCAAGTCCTAACCAAGGACCTAAGTATTATTGAGATAGCATTTAAGGAAACTATATAGCAGTGGTCCCCAACGTTTTTGGTACTGGGGACTGGTTTCGTGGAAAACAATTTTTCAATGAATGGGGGGAGCGCACAACCTAGATCCCTTGCATGCACAGCCTTACAGTAGGGTGTGCATTACTATGAGAATCTAAAGCCTGATCATCTCAGGTGGAGCTGAGGCGGTGATACTAGTGCTAGTGAGCGGCTGCAAATACAGATGAAGTTTCAATCACTTGCCTTCTGCTCACTTCCAACTGTATAACCTGGTTCCTAAGGGGTGGGGACTCCTGCTGTATAAGCAGTTTTAAGCAGAGTTGAGGTTTTGTGTACGTGTGTAAAATTAGAATATTCAGGTCTGATAAATTCAATACATTAATAATTTAATTATATAATAGTATAATAAATCAATTATTATGGTTCATAGCATAGTTATCAAGATGTAAAGACTGGATTTGGCATCTTTACCCACTTATTGGGTCTTG